GGGCCGCGGGGACCGTTGGGCGGCGTTGGTGGACAATTTTTTTGGGCGGAACAAGCCGAGTATTACGAATTTCGTGGGGGTGTAACATTATTTTTGCTAGCAGAAAGCAAGAAAATTTTCAATTTTGAGAGCAAAAAAACCGAAAGTTTTTGATGATTGGAGGGTATTACACCCCCGGCATCCCCCCCCGGTCGGGGCAGCCCTGGGATAATTATATTAATAAATTTTACTTTTTTGAAAGCCATCCGATGAATACGATGTTCTTTGGGATGAGACGCTAGGTTTTTAAAAGTATCCCATCTCATGGGACTATTTTTTCTGTCGCGCCCAATCTCACATGAAGTTTCGTCGAGGATCGAGCCTCGAATACAAATGATATATAAACATTCTATTTATGGTAATCTATTTATTAATTTTTTTTAGAATGGATTTTGGTTTCTATATATTAATAAAGCTTTATTATAGAGAAGATATGAAGAGTAGTAATGAATTATTCTAATTTATATTAAAAAAATGAATACTATATTATCGTTATTGCGTTGATCACGTTTAAAATTTGAAATTCAATGAACATCCGTTAAGAATGAGAGATACTGTATATTATCTTATTAGTGTATAATTACAATAATACCTAGCCTGGTTTTCTAGGAAATCATACAATATGACAGTTCACTTTCTTATAGTTCTCACAAATGTATCTTAAATATCAAATAGACAGTGAAGCTTCACAAAAATTAATGAAAAAGAAAACAGACGTACACATACATGAGGGATAGATTCATTCTGTTATATTTACTTGGAACGACTTGTCAAGTGACAGCAGTATCATAGTATATGTCTTCATTATGTAGTGCATGTTTTTAACTTCTGTGGAGTTTCACGAGACGAAAAAACTTAATAGAATTATTCAAATAAAATGATAAACTGACTTACATAATAAATCTATCGACATGGTGTTATCTTACAATGAAGATCATCAATATAAATAGAGTCTAGTCATGAATGGGTGACAACAAGTAAAAGTTAAGTGCACAATGTCTTCACCATATTGAATAGTAGAACGTTCTAATAACTGTTTCTTATGTCTGATAGATGGTTGTTTACGTGCAAGAGAGGTTAGATAAAAAACAGTTAAGAAAAATGATCGAAATACAAGAGTCCTAGTCAATTACATAATTTATTATTGATCAAATTTGAAAATAAGAATTTTTTAATCTAAATTATTTTGTTTGATCTCAAAAATGTTTTAACAAATTATTTTGCGGTTACATAGAATTTATGTATTTGTCTTAGAGGTGTTATCGTTCGAAAAATTAAAAAATAAATATTTAGAATTTTTGGACAAGAGAGATTTCAATCAATTTTGTCCTATTATTAAAGGGCATATTCTGTATTATGTTCCTGTCAATAGCAGATCTTCATGATTATCATGATACTTGTAATACATGCAGATTTTTAGATAACTTTTGTATTTATTGTAGTTAGGATGATATATCTCATCTTAATATTTATTTTAAATGGTTAAATTGTTATTAATAAATTTAATAAATCTTATAGTTGCCTACATATGCTATTCGAAAGATGATGAAAATTCCATTTGATTATTTGTTTACGCATGAATCTCACTTGTTGCCAAAGTTTTTTTTATCAAAATATGGTTGTCGGTATTATTGAATTTGCTTTATTAATGAAAATTTATATGAACTTTTCTTTTTTTTGGGTTCCAAAAATTTTTTCATCGAATTAAGATTAGAACGTTGAATTGCATATCGATAATGTTTTCTGTTAAATAATTTATCTCGAATATAATATGTTTTTATCAAATACTTAACGCAATACTCAAACAAATTTTACTGTTTGAATTTTTTCATTGTATATATGAAGCGGAAACATGTTTTTTTCAAATTTCAATGAATGTACTCATCTTCTGATTATTTTTCCTTGTTATTTTTCAATGAACATTCAAATAATATTTAGGTTTCGTGCATGAAAGAACAAAGAATTTTTCTTCATATTGAAATAGAGTTCTAAACATGCGATATTTGTTTTATTGTTGCTGTCAGAAAATAATATTTTATTCATTACCGTTAGTGTTACATTGAAGAAAAAACATTTTGTTAATCGAGAAAGTACCAAAATAAATCATTATACATGCTTAAAAACAAGGAAAAATTATTCATTATTATTTATACGTGAAACCTTATTGATAATAAACAGAACTTTTTCTATTATTATTTGAATAATTAAAACGAAAAAAAAAACACGAGATAATATTAAAATATTAATAGAGTTATAAATGAAACTTCTCATGTTATATTTTAAAGTAATCATCAGAGAAGTCTACTAAATGACTAATCATTTTTGATTCAAGACCATGTGATCACCTAGATCATAATGACGGTATACATTTTTTGGGAAGAGTTCACATTATTCAAGTTTATTGATGCGAATATATTGCGTTTTGTGGTATTTTTTAAGTCAAAATCGTAACCT